ATGAACACATTGAAAATTAAGCCAATTCCATTTGGCTGTCCAAAAAACATTCCCACTGACTTGTCCATATTTGCGGCTGAAATGGCACAAAAATGGCGTAGAAATCTAAAAATTTTCTCTAAAGCTCCAGTGGTAATTATCTCCAGTGCGTAGTACGTACTCGCTCAGATCGTCATCTTTTTGACTAGCAATTAACCGTTAGAGTTGAAGCAGTCATCTCATTTAAAATAATCACTTTATATCAAACAAAACCTCATCATATTGTTCGATGTCAAAGCAACCAACACGGTTAAACAAAAAGTGCTTAGAGACTCCATTTTCTTCTCGAAGATTGCTCACCCTTTTTTACAATTATATTTGGATTCTATCTCTTATATATATATACATGCATATAGCCAAACAGAGACAATAAGTAGTTATATTTTAACCACAATTAGTTCAAAGTGTGGTGTAATTTTGATTATTATATCTTCCACAACAAGACCTAAAAATTAGGTCACCTAAACTTTCTTAATTTTCTCCGCTCTCCTTAGCTATTAGCTTTTCTAACCACCAATTTTGTATTTTATTAGTTCCTTCTATGTAAAGTTTAAACTTCAACCCTTGTTTTGTATTAATACTTGGATGATATTTTTTTTAGAAGTTTAAAATGCAAGATTAAAAGTAATTTTTTTAATATTAATTAAGATAAAATATTAAAAATTTATTTGACATTTTTATGCTTAAATAAAATAATAAAAAATTTAAAAATAGATTTTTTTTTTTTCATTCTTATACTTCTTATGGTCATAATTTTTTAGGACAAAAAAGTATAAGAATGATTAACAAAATATATATATATATATATTCGGTAAATATACCCCGTGAGAGAAGACGCTATATGTATGACACAAAATTCATCACATTTGGTAGCACCATGTTCAATTCATCGAGATACGTAGCTTTTGTTGACATTGTATCCATTGCACCGACGAAGGTCTCTATTGACACATTCATGAGAGAGTTTTGGTGGAAAGTAACCCTATATGTTAAAGTGATTACACTTTAACAATGGAAATAAAGTACAAATTATTGGATGATGAAAGTCTCACATCGGCTAATTTAGGGAATGATCATGGGTTTATAAACAAAGAATACTCTCTCCATTGGTATGACGCCTTTTGGGGAAGCCCAAAGCAAAGCCATGAGAGCTTATGTTCAAAGTGGACAATATCATACCACTGTGGAGAGTCGTGTTCGTCTAACACAAATTATCACTATTAAGTCAGAAAGGAAAAATTTTGAAGGATGAGAGTTCTTTGTAACGTGTGTGCGTTTTGATGTCAGTATCACTATTATGTTTTTTTATTTCATAAATATGAGATGAACATTTGATCTTAAAATAAATAACGAGTGTCTTTATTTATAACTTGGGATTGACGAGATAATGTAATAAAAAATGGATTACATCATTTACCAAAACGATGTGGTCTGCAAAAGATTTTCTTTAAAGTCCTAGTTGTAATTGCCTCTAAAGTCCTAGTTGTAATTGCCTCCTTGGATGCTGCTAAACACAACTTAATCATATTGTTTGGTTTCAAAGCAATCAATATGATTAAACATAGAATGCAAAGAGACTTAACCATGGTGCAATTGAAAAAGTTGTGTAAACTTATTTTATTTAAAGGTCTTTATGATCGCATGTAATGATCCTAAATTTCTACATACTCAGCTACTAAAGTCTCATGCTTATCATTTATGCGGAAACATAACTCTTAAAAAAAATCATCTATAGTATAAATGTCAAAAACATTTAAAACATGCTCTCCAAAACGTGTTTAAATACGAAATACTTAAATTTAAAGAAATTAAAAAAAAATTAAAACAATAAAATGCAAAAAAATCTCATTCTAACCTAAAACTAGGAATTAAGTTGAATACTTGTACCATAGTGTTAATTGAAAGAGTTGACAAGTCTTCATACAGGAATTTCTAAATGGTAAACTGCTCAATCATTGAGTTATTTCTTATTTATTGAAGGAAATTTCGAAATTGTAAACAAATTTTTACTTAAATAATAAGAACAAATATTATCAACTGTAATGTCACCTTTTAACTTTCTTACCTTGTTCATTTAAATGTCTAGTGGGATTGTTACATATGCATTATCGGTTCGAATCTAAGATGTGATATGACATTTAGATGAAATTTTATTGTACCTAAACCTAAAGTTTGAAGACAAAATTTTCAAACCAAGAATTTCATAAACTTTGACATGCAGGATAATCTTGTACTATACTTACGAGTGATGAGGTCCCCAATAGAAAACAACTCTCGTAAGCTTGACATAGATTTGTTCATGTCTGTTGGCACTGTGTTGTTGTCATTAACATGCGTGACTTTTACCGCCGTCATAAACATAACATTACCAGAAAGTTTCTATCGACCATTCATGATAGTGCCTCGACATCAGGGCTATCCTATCTGAACTAATTAGTTTAAATACATTAAAATTTTAAAATTTTGAAAATCAAATTTGATTAGAAGGGAAACCTTTAACCTCATCAAAGATAATGAGAATTTTTATTCATAAACTTATTTATTGAAATTAAATGAAAGTCCGAGTGTATCATTTCCATTGATACATTAACTCGAAGGCATTGCGAGATCCAAAATACAAGTAAATACCTTGTTCTCGACATGCCCAAGTGCAGGTATGATGAACACATTGAAAATTAAGCCAATTCCATTTGGCTATCCAAAAAACATTCCCACTAACTTGTCCATATTTGCTGCTAAACTGGCACCAAAACAAGGTTGAAATCCAAAAATTTTCTCTAAAGCTTCAGTTGTAATTATCTCCGGTGCGCAGTACGTGCTCGCCCAGATTGTCATCTTTTGACTTGCAATAAACAGTTAGAGTTGAAGCAGTCATCTCATTTAAAATAATCACTTTATATCGGACGAACGGTAATTGTAGCTTAGATTCTGCAAAACAAAACCTCATCATATTGTTCGATGTCAAAGCAATCAACACGATTAAACAAAATGTACTTAGGGACTTCATTTTCTTCTCCAAGATCACTCACCCTTTTCTACAAATGTACTTGGATTCTATCTCTTATATATATACATACATATAGCCAAATTAAGGTCGTTAGTAGTTATATTTTAACCACAATTAGCTCAAAGTGTGTTGTATTAAGGTCGTTAGTAGTTATATTTTAACCACAATTAGCTCAAAGTGTGTTGTACATTTATGTTATTAAAAATTATCTTCCATAACATGATGTAAAAGGTATGGTCATCTAAACTTAATTTTTTCAGCACTAGTTAACTGCTCGTTTTTGTTAGCAACTGATTTTGAATTTTATTAGTTCTTTTAATGTAAAGTTTAAAGTTCGACCCTTAATTATTTATGTATTAAAAAAATTGATTAAGTATTAAATTTATGGGTTGTATTTATTAGAAGTTTAAAATGCAAAATTAAAAAGTATTAAATTTATGGGTTGTATTTTATTAGTTCTTTTATGTATTTTTTTATTAAGTAGCTTTTGTTGACATTGTATGCATTTCATCTCATCGAAGGTCTCTATTGACACATTCACGAGAGAGTTTCAGTAGAAAGTAACCTCATATGTAATTGTGATTACACTCTAACAATTGAAAGAAAGTACAAATTATCACTATTAAGTTAAAAAGGAGAAATTTTGAAGGATGAGAGTTTTTTTTTTTTTTTGGTAACCTAGGTGCATTCTAGGGTCAGTATCTTTATGATGCTTTTTATTATAATAAATATGAAAGAGATGAACCTTTGACCTAAAAATAAATAATGAGTGTTTTTATTTATAGCTTGAGATTGACCGGACAATGCAAATGAATTATGGATTACATCATTTACAAGAATACAATGGTAGGATTATAATGAAAGGAAATGCTTGGGTCCATGCGTGTCCAAATGCAGTTATGATCAACACATTAATCACTAAGCCAGCTATGTTGTTCTGGCCAACATTATTAGTTGCTTGGCCATATTTGTTGTTAAAATTTCACCAAAATAATGTGGTTTGCAAAATATTTTCTTTAAAGTTCCCGTTGTAATTGCCTCTAGCGTTGATGACATGCTCGTCCAAATCATTACCATTCGACTTGAAGTGAACCACAAGAGTTGAATCCACCACCATATTCAAAATGGTCTCTTGCCAATTGGATAGTACAGGTTGCATTTTGGATGCTGCTAAACACGACTTAATCATATTGTTTGGTTCCAAAGCAATCGATATGATTAAACATAATATGTTAAGAGACTTTAGGCAAATTGAGTACCTATTCAATTACTTGTATGTAGTTAAAATTTAAACTGTGGTGCAATTGAAAAAGACAGTTTAATCAATTTCATGTCTCTCATTTTTACATAAAGAGTGGTGCCAATATTATTCCACTTGAATTACGCAGATAACAAAAGACAATTTAACCAATTTCATGTCTCTCATTTTTTCTTGGGTCTTTATTTCGTAGAGATTTTTTTTTTTAAAATTTTGTTATCATTTCTCTTCATCAATGAATCAATTCTAATTCATTGTTGAATTGTACCACAATAAAATACTCTTTTTTTTTTTCCTTCAGATGTTTACTCCACATTTTCCTCTTTTCTTTTTCTATATTATTATTATTATTTTTATTTATTTATTTATTTATTTATTTTTAATGTTCACCAAATCTTTCATTTCCTCCATTAAATTTTCCCTTTTTACTCGGTTTCACTTCTTATTTATTTTAATTGTGTTCACCTAATTTTTCTTTTTATCAGTTAACTTCATCTTTGTATTATCTATTACAATTTTTCCTTTTTCATCTATGTATTTATTTACATAAATTTCCTCTTTTTCCTTTGCTTCCTCCCTCCTCTATGTATTTATTTTAATGTTGTAAATTTTTTTGTCACGACCCGATTTTAGAGGCTTCAAAAAATCGAATCGTGACTAAAAAGACGAAATCGAAGAAAAAATAAAAATTTAAAAGAAGATAAAATAGGAGATGAATATCTGATAATATTTAAATCAAGAATAAGTAGTCAACGACGCCAAAATTAAAGTCAAATATTACAAACGGGAAATACAATTATGAAAGAAAAATGCAAAAGACTCTAAAAGATAGACAGGGGACTGACGCTCCGGAACGACACTCCTCTGTGACAGTGCAGCTCTTGAACACTTCCCCACCTCGATCGGTATCTGAAAAAAAAGAAGGGGAAACGGGGTGAGTATAAAGATATACTCAGCAAGCAACCTACCTATAGGCTCTTAATCGCATCCAAGTTTAGGAGAGAACCACCAACTATACTCTAGACCCTCGAGTCTCAGTACTCTCAGTACACAGTTCAGGGTGGAAGGACTTAACCTTTGAAGCGGTATTCAACGTTTGAGGATTTGGTGTTCCCTCGTAACTACATGTACCCCTCGTACAACCCAGCTAGAATTAGTCACTGCATGGTCAACGTCCTTCCACAGGACGGACCCATCATGCAGGCGACCTTGACCCACTCGCGTGATCAACATCTTACCATAAGACAAATCCCCATGCAGAGTAGTCGATCTACCACTGAGTAACACTTCCCTAATAGACGTCTCACCAAGCTCAACAGTACCACACCAGAGTAGGAAGGGAAGAGTAACACCTCCTTAATTGGCATCTTGCCTAGCTCAACTGTACCACACCGAAGTAGGAAGGGAAGAGTAACATCTCACGAACTGGAGTCTCGTCTAGCTCAACGGTACCACACTGGAGTAGGAAGGGGAGGGTAACATCTCCCTAACTGGTGTCTCATCTAGCTCAACAGTACCACGCTGGAGTAGGAAGGGAAGCAGAGCATACTCGAACGCTATACTATGTTGGCTAAGAGGTCATCTCTCTACACCTCGGGGTCCTAATGTGGTTCTCTATATCTCAAGGGTAGTTAAAACTATTGAGTTAGGGGCCCTGGCTTCCAGATTCACTCAAGCAAGACTCCCAAGTCCATAACAGTCCAGGGTTAAAAGGTCTCTCCCTCTAAGCGTCGCTCACGACACCATAGACCGTAACATCAGGAGGGTCCCCTAACTAAACCACACTCAATCCCTACAAGAGTTCACCCTAGACATATCACAACACTACAGCTTATCAATCATATCATAAGTGCACACAATCATTCAAGAGGAGTTTATGTATGATTAACAACGCATACAATCATAAAGCTCAACGGGGCGGTAACATCCATCAACACCCGGAGCGTAGATACACATATTCTCCCGTCCACCAATATAGTATAAACAGATAAAAGCAGTAGTAAGATAGTCTAGCAAGCATACAAACAACGAGTACAAAATCTCACTAGGGCAGCAAGTCCAACAGATATATATTTAATTCCCTAAGTACCGAGGATCATTAGATCTAGCCACCTATGGGTAATTTGCTCTAGCATGTATGCAAAACCAAGCGCACTCTACAAGTATTACTTCCTAAATCCGTATGGTTACTTACCGAAATGAAGCGTGCCATTCGAACCTTACTTTTCGGCTAATTAAGAGCTCAAAACTCTTGAAAGTTTGCTGATAGGTCCTATATCAAGTTAGACTTAGATCAGTACCAAAATCGGGATGAAAAATAATCGAACAGAAGTCAAATCGAAATAAAAATAGAGTCTCATGCGCTGGTTCACACGACACACGTGTCGGAGGGATTTCCCACGCGCACAGACACGCATGCATACGGACGCACTAAGGGGATGGAATCGCGCTAGTTTCTGCCACGTGGCGAGTGCTGACTGGCCCACTAAGAGCTAGGGTGTGCGTTCGAATCGGATGCATGCGGGTTCCTACGATTTTTCCCACGCTGACGCGTGGCAAACGCAGGGACGGGTTGGTTGATGGGTTAGGTCGCACGCGGGTTCACGGATCTGGTAGCAGGCGCCGATCTTCAAACCTTACTTGACGCAGTATTTATTTTTGTGATTTTCCTCCGCCATTCCACGCCGGACGCGTGTCCCATCTTTTCGGCAACGCGCGGCCCTCTCCTTTCCTTACATGCGTCCCTCTGCCGTTCATCTTCTTCCTCTCATCTCTGCGATTTTTCAGAAAATCGATTATTTTCTATTTTCTTTGCATTTTCATATTTTTTTCTACATAACTCGGATTAACGTGAATCCTTTATGAGATTTGTAGACCTCATGCCCATCCACATATAGGTATTTTTCTTTCTTGTAATTTATTTCTAACCACAGACATAATAAACTTAGTCCAATGTTGGCAAGAAACATCAATACTTACATCTTTTGGTGAAAGCCGGAACTCCTATTTCTGATCTGAATCGATCAAGACTTACTTCATGGATTATGATCGCAAACCACCCTAGATTAACATACCTAAATTTCAAAATCTAAATCCTCATATTTCTCACAAATTTGAGGAAAATCCGAAAACGAAAGTTCAAGAATTTACCTACAGATTTCCTCCGTTCCATGACGGTTTTGGACGATTCGAGGGCCAGGATGCTTCCTATAGGTTCTGTGAAGTGTTTGTGAAGAAAACTCCACCGGAATCGGACTTCTCGTGACCAGATCGGAAGTGGCTGTTACTTCCCATTCTGCCGAGAACCTTTTTTCTCTCTCTATTTTCTTTTTTCTTTTTCTTTTCTTTTCCACTCCTTCCTTTCTTGTCTTTTTTATTTATTTATTTATTTATCTTTTACTAACCTCCATTTCAGGCTCTTAATGAAGATGGTAGAATGACCAAAATATCCTTCCAAGTTGACTTTGACCATTTTTTCTTTTAATATTTTTCTTAAGTTCCTGAGATATTTCTAAACATTTTTGTCATCTACCTCGTCTCAAAATTCAATCTCTAAGATCCTCAATAAAATCTCGGAAGTTCAACTTAAAGGGAAAAACTTAGGTTTTTAAGTTTTTCGTCGGGGTTCGGGTGTTACATTCTCTTTTTATTTACTCTGTTTTATCTTTTGTTCCGTTGAAAATCAAATTTGATTAAAATCGAACCGTTAACTTCAGAAAAGATAATGAGCATTTTTATTCATAAATTTATTTATTGAAATTAAATGAAAGTTCGAGTGTATCATTTCCATTGATACATTAACTCGGCATTGCGAGATCCAAAAAAAAAGTAAATACCTTGTTCTCGACATGCCCAAGTGCAGGTATGATGAACACATTGAAAATTAAGCCAATTCCATTTGCCTGTCCAAAACATATTCCCACTAACTTGTCCATATTTGGTGCTAAAATGGCACCAAAACAAGGTAGAAATCCAAAACTTTCTCTCTAAAGCTCCAGTTTAATTATCTCCGGTGTGCAGTACGTGCTCGCCCAAATCGTCATCTTTTGACTTGCAATTAACAGTTAGAGTTGAAGCAGTCATCTCATTTAAAATAATCACTTTATATCGGACGAACGGTAATTGTAGCTTAGATTCTGCAAAACAAAACCTCATCATATTGTTCGATGTCAAAGCAACCAACATGATTAAATAGAATGTACTTCGAGATTTCATTTTCTTCTCCAAGATCACTCACCTTTTTTTACAAATGTACTTGGATTCTATCTCTTATATATATTACATACATATATCTAAAGTGAGGTTGTAAGTAGTTATATTTTAACTCCAATTGATTCAAAGTGTGTGGTACATTTTGATTTTACAGAATATCTTCCATAACAGGAGGTATGTGTGGTACATTTTGATTTTACAGAATATCTTCCATAACCGGAGGTAAAATGGACGGTCTTTTTCAGTAGCTTTTGTTAGCAACTGATTTGGTATTTTATTAGTTCTTTTATGTAAAGTCCAAAGTTTTGGCCCTTTATTATTATGTATTAAAAAAATTGATTAAGTATTAAATTTATGGGTTGTATTTTATTAGAAGTTTAAAATGGAAGAATAAAAAGTAATTTTTTAATATTAATTAAGATAAAATATTAAAAATTTATTTGACATTTTTGTAGCTTAGATAAAAGAATAAAGAATTAAAAATAGATTTTTTTTAATCATTTTTTATACTTCTTAGTCATATTTTTTTAAGTACAAAAAAAATATATATATAATGATTAAAAAAACTGTATCAACCAAATAAATCAAGTGATAAAAAGACGCTAATTTATGGCACAGAATCCATCACATTTGGTAGCATTATGTTAGAGACATCGACATAGGTAGTTTTTGTTGACATTGTATGCATTGCATCAATGAAGGTCTCTATTGACACATTCATGAGAGAGTTTTGGTAGAAAGTAACCTCATATGTTATTGTGATTACACTTTAACAATGGAAGGAGAAATTTTGAAGGATGAAAGTTCTTTGTAACATGTGTGTTTTACTGTTAGTATCACTATGATGCTTTTTATTTCAATAAATATGAAAGAGATTAACCTTTGACCTTAAAATAAATAATGAGTGTTTTTATTTATAGCATGAAATTGACCCGATAATGCAAATGAAGAATGGATTACATCATTTACAAGGATACATTAGTTTATTGGGATTGGTAGGATTATAATGAAAGGAAATGTCTCAATCTACCCTGTCTAAATGCAGTTATGATCAGCACATTAATCACTAAGCCGGCTCTATTGCTTTGGCAATAAAACATTACTAGTAGCTTGCCCATATTTGCTGCTAAAATTGCACCAAAACAATGTGGTTTTCAAAAAAAAATTTAAAAGTTCCAGTTGTAATTGTCTCCAGCGTTGATGACATGCTCGCTCAAATCGTTATCTTTAAACTTGCAGTGAACCACCAAAGTTGAATCCACCATCGAATTCAAAATGGACTCGTCAATTGGGCACTACAGGTTGCATCTTGGATGTTGACAGTGTAACTTGCAACTTAGATGTTACTAACACGACTTAATCATAATGTTTGGTTTCAAAGCAATCAATATGATTAAACATAATGGGTGAAGAGAATTTTTTTTTTTTTTTTTTTTTATGGGGAGAATTCTCACTTTTTCTTACCCAACTTATTTTGATTTTGTCTCGTATATATATAGCCAAGAGTACATAGACAATTAGTTGTATTATGAAGTTAAACTTTAAACTGAGAGTACCTAGACAATTACTTGTATGCAGTTTAATTGATGTTAATTTCAATATCTTAAAAGGAGTATTTATTTACTACGAATAGAATAATATGAACCAACTAACCAAATGTAACGTAACAGCCCAAAAATAAATAAATAAACAAATAAAAATTATTATTATGTATAAAAAATAATAATAATAATAAATTAATAAATAAGTAAATAAAAAAAACCATCATTCCCTCTTTTCTCTCCCGTAAGTCAATTCCCTAATAATCTCTCCTCAACACACCCTGCCAAATGAAACAGAAATGAAAAATCTCAGATTTGAGAAAACAGACATGCCTCACATCAAATTTATAGGAGATGGGTTGACAGAGATGATCAAGATTTACATGAGAGAGGGGAGAGAGATTTGAGATTTCTCGGTTGACTTGGAGTTCAATGGACTTTCATCAAGGATAACGACGGAATCGAACTTTCATTAAGGATATATTCGTGACAACGACTTAAGCTAACCAGGTAAGTGACCTTACTATCGGCAAGGTTATATTTGATGTTGACACGTGCCCTGTGGTTCTGCACGTGTCATATATATTGATATGTGTGAATTGTCTGAGGATCGATATGCTTCCTATAGGTTATGTTATGTTATTATATGTGGATTGTATGATAATAATTATGGTACAATGTGCTCTAGGAGATGTTCGAGATAGGGTACGAGAAGGATGCACAAAACGAAATGTAACGATAGGAGTAAGATACGTTCATGAAATGTTAGAGTTGGGTTACATACCGGAGTGCTATGGATAGGAGAGATTGATGAAAGAATACGGTCAGGTTATGGGTAGAAAGGGATAGGTTTGTGATAGATTGATAGAATGATAGCGTTAGGGTACGTTCTTGTGACGATATGACCAAGGTACGTCACGTAATGATATGCCTGTGATAGGTATAAGAACGTTAAGGCTATGGTAAGTTAGAGAACGATATGGCTATGAAGTGTTTACATTATGACTTGGTTATGATATGATACATTGTATGCTAGATTATTGTGCTTAAGTACGAAATCATGTGAACGTGAATGTATGTTATTTATGTTGCTTAGTTGATGTGATATGAATGCATGTGATGATGTGTGACCCTTGTACGATTATGACTTGTTGTATGAGTATTGGAATGTAATTGAATGAATTGTATGACATGAAATACGGTAAATTGCATGATACATAACCCCGCTAGGAATATGTATGATATGTAACAGAATGAGAATGAGAATGACATGTAAGCATGAAAACGTGACACGGGGTTATGTTCATTAAATGATGACTGTAGGACTAGTGGGACCTCATGCATATTGTGTGATCATGCATTTGGGGGGATACTCCTATCCCATCACGAGGGTACGGACGCGTACATCCAAATGGCAGGACAACGATCGTTATGCCCTGCATAGCGCTGCCGTGATGGTTTTAGTCTTAACGGTCCTGGTGGGCCCCCAGAGCATGCCCATTGGCTAGGGACAGTGGCCCAGCGGTGTGCGAACTAGCTGGTGAGCCCATACTCGCACGTATGGGCTGCGTGTAGAGTATATGGTACACGTTCACGATTACCTGTTAGGATTACACCGTAGGGAAAACGAAACAAAACGAAATGAAATGAAACGAAACGAAACAAAACGAAAGATAGGTCTCATCATTTCATTGCATGTGATTGTTGCATTTAACCCCAATAGTGGGGTCACTTATTGAGTATTTCTTTAAATACTCAAGCCATGTGCTACTACATTTTTCAGGTTAAGGCAAGACATTCCTGTATGGCTGACAACGGCATCGCAACTCGAGATCATGGCACATGCATAGGATAGTGGCATTTATTTTCTTAGACTTAGGATAGAATAGGATGTTTTAAACTTAAACGCTTATTTATTTTATTTCGGGTCTTTTGTTGTGTCGTTTTAAAGATATTTTCAAAACACGTAAGTTCATGGCTGTGTTTTAAGTTAAAGGTTATGTTTTATGGAATTTAAATTAAGTCTTCCGCATTCAATGTTTATGGTATGTATACAGTAGCGACCTTAAATTAAGTAGAAAATTTCGGGTCGTTACATGTAATGTTACCCTAACTTTCTTAACTCGTTTATTTAAATATATATATATATATATATATATTTAGTGAGACGATTACTTATGTATTATCAGTTTGAATCTAACATATTATATGTCACCCTATCGTAAGTTTGATGTGGATTTGTTCACGTCTATTGGCGTCATGTTGGAGTCATTGACATCTATGACATTTACCAACGTCATAAATATAGCATTTTAAAAAAGTTCCCATTGATGCATCCACGATAGTATATATATTTAGTGAGACGATTACTTATGTATTATCAGTTTGAATCTAACATATTATATGTCACCCTATCATAAGTTTGATGTGGATTTGTTCACGTCTATTGGCGTCATGTTGGAGTCATTGACATCTATGACTTTTACCAACGTTATAAATATAGCATTTTAAAAAAGTTCCTATTGATGTATCCACGATAGTGTCTCGACCCAAGAGTTAATGTATCCCAACTAATTAGTTTATTGAA